AAAAAAAAAAAAAAAATTATGTTGCATCTGTAACTCTTAGTTATACTTTACACACAACGGTTATTATTTTGTAGCAGCAATACATGTGATCATCGGATTTGAGTTCTGCCTAATGACCAAAGGCCAGTGTCCTTAACCGCCGCCTGAAAGTACAAATAAGAAAAATGTGTCTGAGAAATCAAGAATTCAAATTTCAGTACAGATTTTAAAAATAAGATCAGAAAGGTTCGGAAAAACTTACAGGTGTTTTTATGGATGGAAACACATTCCAGAACCTGAGTGTCTCGTCTCCAGCCCCAGTCACAATTGTCTGCAAATGTCGTGTAAAAAAACGTGTCTTTTAACAGATCACACAAATGATATATATATACTTGAGCTTGAATGCCATTATTGTACAACACAACACAACGCACCTGACCATCAGGAGACATTGCCAGATAGAGTACACGTAAACTATGTCCGGTCAAAGTCGCAACCTTTTTCAATAACCAAAACAATGCTCGTTAAAAGATTTCTTAATCAATCGTTCTCAAAAGAACAGCATAAGATGATGATCAGTCATTCTCACCTTTGCCATAGACGGATACTTCCACACCATTATCTGATTCTGAGAATATCCATGAGTGCTGACTATTTCATTCACATTTTTACTCCATGCTAGATTGCATACCTGCCCAGTTGTTTTTGGAGAGAACTCGTTCACGCATTGTACCATACTGAACGCCTTATAACACACGCAAAACACAAACGAACCTCCCTTAAGGGGTTTAAGAGTTTGTAAATTTCACAACGTTAACTCCATCGACATGTAATTTATAAGTAATAACCTATTTTAATACAGCATTAGAAAAATTGTGTAGATGATGATCTATACCTGGCTCCCAGTATCCACACGATTGAGCTGATTGCCGCTCGATGTATTCCAAAACCGAATGCAACGATCAGCAGTTCCGCCTCCAGATGCCAAAAGGCCATTCTGATGTGGAGACCATGCAATGGCTTTCACGGCTGCTGTATGCTCTGTTAGCTTCAGTATCGGCTGTCGCGAGTGCTGATTCCACACCAATAGCTGATAAAACGAACATTAGATCACAAAAACATCAACTTACTTCCAGAAAAAAAAAAAGAAAAAAAAAAATAAACCAAAAAAAAAGTAAAAGAATAATAGCAATCATCAAGCTTACCTGATTATCGTTGCCACCGGAAGCAAGTTCTCGATCATCATGAGACCATTTGAGTCCGCAAACCTTATAAAAATAAGACGATTTATAAGTTACGAAGCATTTTATTTTCAGACATAACACATTCTTTGACAACATATGTATAAGTTTTCTTTACCTCTGATTTGTGTCCAGTAAGTTTGCTAATATAATCGCTCGGAACACGAAGGTCGTGCTGAAGTATGTTTCTATCTCTGCTGCCAGAGGATAATATGCGAGAACTCCATGCGAGCACTCCAGTTCTTGTTTGATGTCCACCCATTGTTCTAACACGCTTGCACTGAGTCCCGTCCCAAACCTAAACCATCCATCATGCATTCATTCAGTTAGAGGTCTTTCTTCAATGCTGAAAAACAGGACCAATCAAAACAACTTTTACCTGAACTTGGCCAAGACTTGTGCCGACTGATATGTATGACCCCTCTCGAGTCCACTGGACTGAGCAGACACCGTCATTAGGTCCCAGGTCACACAATTTTGTCACCTATTAATAAAAATGCACACTGAATCAGATGACTTCAAGCGGGAATAAATGTTTAGCGGTCCTATGTGATGGGTGGGAATAGCAAAAACTAACTTTACTGTTTGAAGCACTCCATAGATAGACACAGGTGCCTAATCCCACGGCAAGGACATTCTGAGAAGACCAGTCGACTAAGTTGAGATAAAAATCGTCTTGAAGGGATGGTGCATCCAGAACCTGCAATAATTCCATACTGTTAATTAGCTGAAAATCCACGAGTTGCGACACTTCATGTGAAAGGTTTTCTCAGATATCAGCTACATTTGGTAAATGGTATTAACATAATAAATCCGTAGAAAACAAACCAACTCACAAGAACCATTTACAATCAACTAAAACCATTAAAAATCATTGCTTCTTAATTGTTTTTTTCCCCATCAGTGTCAACATACAAAACCTCACAAAGCCATGATCTTTCCTTCAACTGTACCTTGTGAGGCGTCTTGGGCACTTTCCTCGGCGGCTTGGGCGGGGTCGAAACCTCGCCGGAAAGCCCAGCATCATGTCCCAAAACCGAAGGTGAGAAGGGCGAATTGGGCCCAGACGAGTGCTGCTCCGTCTTGAACCTCAGCATGTTCTTGCTCGGGCTCGTCATCAATGGCGACCCACCACCAGCACCACCTGCAGAAAAATCACAAGACCCAAAGTCAGTCCCAAAAAGTTCAGCCCTCAACAACCTGGAGTAAGCCTCGCTGCCGCTGCCGCCGCCGCCAGTTCCCTCCTTGGCCGGAGACCCCTTCTCCACTAGCCCAAACGTGTGCAGCCTCGACGTGGATCTGCAGGGTATGAACCTGTCGCTGCAGACGGAGGCCGACTTGGACGGGGATGAGGAGGCGGAGAGGTTGGATATGGTCCTTGGGGACATCGATTTGAGCGGAGATGAGAGGCTGCTGACGGCGGGGGACGAGAAGGTGTCGAGGCGGAGGGAGGAGCCGGACATGGACGGCGGCAGGTTGATGCCGCTCTTCCTTCTGTTCATTTGGCTGTCCATATTTTTTTTTTTTTTTTAAAATCTGCGTTTTTGTATCGCGCTAGGTGTTCGTGAAAATGCCTCAGAGTCGGCCGGAGGGATTTTGTCCGGCGGAGAATGAGAATGTGGGGATGGTGGCGACTGGAGGGGTTTTTGATCTGTAGATCTCTTATCTATTGGAGCCAACGGTCAGTTGTGATGGAGAAGGTAGCAGCAGGTGGACTCATGTTTTAGCTCCCCTCTTACCAAAAAAATGTACATCGATACTGCTACTAGCCGTTAGGAATATTTAATTTTTTATTATCTCAAAAAAAAAAAAAGGAAAAAAAAAAGTAGAGTTGTATAGGACGGGATTGGCCAATAATGCTCCCCTACCCACGGTGAGCACGCCACACATTTTAATATGTACATCGCTTATGTGACATGCACACATTGGTGATGTTAATATGTTCCAAAAAATACATCACCAATGTGTGCATATCACATAAGCGGTAGACATATTAACATGTGTCCACCATGAGTAAAGGAGCATTACTGAGAGATTGGCTATAAAATATAACTAATTCTAATTCTGATAAGCTTCTCAAAACGAGCTCAACCCATGGGCCGGCCAGCCATACCTCTCCAAAAGGGTTGGCCAGCTGAGATATAAAGGCCCACTTAGAAGCGAGTCTAAACGTGGACCGTTTTTTTTTTTTTTAAAAAAAAAAAAAATGTAAGATAATTTGGGTTTGAATCATTGGTTGTGTTTGTTTATTGGCATTTTCACTTTAAATCATCTTTTTGAGCTATTTAGCTGTTTGACCATACACAATCAGCTAAAACCACCGTTTGGTAATGAGCTGTTGTAACCAACGTTTTTTTCTCAATTTGCCAAAATGAAAAACGCTGCTTTTTGCAGCGTTTTGTCTCGGCGGTCTAGATAAAAATAATAAAAGTCTTAATTGCCCCCGTCATTATTACAATAGCAAATAAATTAACAACTCTATACAAAAATTAATCGTGATACTTTTTTGTGATACTTTTTAATCAAACCCATATAAATAATATCTAGTCTCATGATTTCGAGAAAAAAATTAATCAAAATCGTGATATTTTTGTATTCAAATCTATATAAATAATATTTAGTTTGTTGGTATAATGTAAGAGATATATTTAACTATGTAATTTTCCACTCCAACTAATACTTAGTATAAATAATTTAACCACCAATTTTACCAACTAAATTTTAAACAGATGTAGGCATAGATACACTATCATATATCAATTCATCACATAATCTCCTAAAACTATATGGCAAAGTTTGTAGAAACGTTCAAACACATTGACAAAAATATAGTAAAAAAAGTTTCAAAGTTGCATAAAATCCAAACAATTTGAAAAATCTAGTGAAAAAAAAAATGGAACACCCAACCCAAACAATTAAAGAAATCTAATAAAGTAAAAGTAGAAATACTTAGATGACGATAAGAAATTTTGGAAATTAGTTACAGTAAATTTTAGTTACTTTGATTTTTTTTTTCAATTGTAATATATATATTCCAATTGAGTCATATTTAGATTTTTTAACTAGTGAGGACTTGTTATTAATTTTGTTTATATGATGCGATCTTATTTAACCAATTAAAAAATATTTTTTTTCTTTTTTTTTTCTGGAACGATTGGAATTAAGAAATACTTTCATTGTAGTATTATTATATTTTTCTATATTTTAAATCAATTAAATAAATATTTGAAATATAAACTCTCTTTATTTCTTAAATAATTATAAGTTCTACATAATAAGAATGATAAATTATGATAATTTCCTTATTAGTAGTTTTACATGTTAACAGCTAATTAAAAACATCTAATTTACCAAATTTTTTTTACAACCCGTTAACAAAATCATCTGGTCAAAACAGCTAATTTAAACTACTGGTCAAAACAGTTAATGCAATCAGCTAACAACTATCAGCTAACGGCTGATTACCAAACAAGGCCAATATATCATTTGGGTCATTAATCACTACTACATATACAACCACAACCATTTTACCGTTTGGGTCATGAAATCACGGGCCGACACCATTTGGGTCATTAAATCATGTGGCCCATGTATAAAGAATAAGAAATGAAATGTTTCATCCACAAATTGACCAGAGATTCATCAGGCCATTAACAAATGGATTTATCTTTTTTTTTTTTTTTTTGTACAAAGAGGGAGGCTAATGCTTTAGACTACGATATTTCGAGGATGGGCTATCCCGAGAACATCATGTTGAAGCCACGGTTTCACCCCCGTGCGAGGGTCATCAAGTATATGGAGACCGCCCGACTGGTCGATGCTAGGGATGCAAGATAATCCGTTGCAAAATTTACCTCACGGTGGATATGTCGGACCCCAACATTCCATTCTCTTCCTAAGAGCTCCTTAATACCCATAATAATGCTACTATGAATACCCGTGTGTTCACCATTGTGAAGCACCAAATCGACGACGTTTTTGCTATCCACTTCCGCAATCACCAGACGGTGTCCCAACCTCCACGCTAAATTCAAGCCTTGAAAAAGTCCCCATAATTCCGCACCCAAGACCGAGCAAAACCCGATATTCATCGCAAAACCGGACACCCACCTACAGGGGCGAAACTATAACCAAATCCGGAGTGGCGCCGGCCCCTCCAAAAAAAATAAAAATTTAAACTAAGGGTGGAGAATTTTGCTGGAATTGGAAGATTTTTCTCTGAGCGTGTATATTGGGCCCTCCCCGGTTTCATGCGGTACATACATGGCCGGAGGGGCGCCACTAGTTTTGTCGTGAATTTTTTTTAAAGGCAAATTGGGTTCTCCCTGAAATGGGATCCTGGTTTCGGAACAAGGAGAACTATAACAGCAACATAATTTAATATTTTTTTCATTTTTATTATATTTTGAGTTGGTTAATTAGCCGACTTGCGGTGTACCGACGGGACTCAAAAACCGAGTCGATCATTACCGAAAAATACTTTTATGAAAGTACGGGAAGCGGAGAGTCCGCTGGTGGCATCGATTTATGATTTTGAGGTCCCGACTATTTATTTTGGGTAGCCCGAAGTAAAGAGAAAAAGGGCAGTGGCGGTGATTTTATTGTCATTTTCATGTCTAGACTTCGGGTAACCGTCGGCCCTCGTTAGGCGTGCTGAAAATTAGCGGGAGTGCTTTCTTGAAAGCACGAGAACAGTGGAAGCCGTTCGTAAAATTTATTTCATGTTTCGAAGTTTCGAGCATTTATTTTGAGAAGTTCGAAATCGAAAGCGCATAATAGAAGAATAAAACGCCATTTTGCGGGGTCCCGTAAGGTTGCGTGTGACCTCGGTTTAACGAGAACCGAGTTGGGCGTGTGGACAATTCAAACACGATTCCATAGGGACAAATTTTGCATTTTTCGGAGTTCCGAGCATTTATTGTGGGAGTTTGAATTTCTGCGTTAAATAGTATCAAAATGAGCAAATTTGTCGAGGACGAGTTCGATCGTTCGAGCTTCGTTTTCTCAATTTTTTCAGCTTTTCGTCTATTCGCAAGGAAGTATAATTCTTGTTTATTATTATAATTGAGTCCGAGATTTTTATGAGTATAAATTTGAGTATTTTTCGAGTTAAAACAATTCAGTATAAGTATACAAGTTTAATTCTCGACTTAGTTTGATTTTTAGAAAAATCTCTAGAGTATTCTTTTATATCCTGCGAAAATTTTTGAGAGCGTCTACAAAAGCCCTTTGAGCGTCCTTTCGATGCCGAAGTGGGGGTGGTGCGCCGCGGCAAATTGGGCCCTCCCCGGGATGACCGGCTGGTTTCGCCACTGCCCACCTACCATCTTCGTCCCGTAGCAGACCCCCCGTTGAGGCCATTCCTGAATGACAATTGAAGGCCCCATCTGAGTTTAGTTTAATGCAGCCCGCCGCCGGCTTGGCCCATGAGAGCCATCGGGGTTCTCTGCATGAAATCGCTGCACCTAAACTTTTCACGTGCAGAAAGGCCGAATTACACCCTTCAACTTGTCTATCGATTGCCGCCACACGTCCAAGAATGTTTAACCCGGCTTTCTCGAATATGTAGGAGTTTCGCCCACGCTAGATGTTCCATAAAGTGACCCAAAAAACACAGCTCCAATTCTCAACCTGAATATTCAAAATATTACGAATATTGAGGCGCAGCCATTCACGAATCTCAAGGGAGAAGAACGAGGCCTGGGAGCAGAGCGGGATAATCCGACGCCACGTTTGGTCAGCATGGCAGCAGTCCCGGAGGCAGTGCAATATCGTCTCGCGGGCGGCACCACACAACACCACTACAAGAAAAACTGCATTTGGCGACGCTTATTTTTTTGTTTACTGACACTTATTTTTTTTGACATCAAATTTAGCAACACAACTCGCCAATAAGCGTCATTAATAAGCGTCGCCAAATGCAGTTTTTCTTGTAGTGCACACACGAGGCGCTCTCCGCTAGGTGACGACGGTAACTTCGTCATTGGTTAGCAATCGATCCTTAGCAATGAGACACATGAACTGACGGATTCTTTGGGGCCCCGACCAGCTCCAAATGTATTTCCATAGACGCCCATTGTTCTCTGGCTGAGATCCATCCAGAAATTCATAAGCCGATTTGGTGGTGAAACGTCCGTCACCCGACCACCCCCAATACATAATGTCTTCGCCCAAATCCGGGGAAGGAGGTAAGGTTTTTTTTTTTTTTTTTTACCTTTCTCAACTGCTGCAACTTTTTTTATTAATTTTTCTGGACGGGCCAGCCATAAAACTTTGTTAATGAAAGTAAGATGGTGAGTGTTTTTGTACAGCGTTTATGAATAAGAACTATAGGGAACTACTACCGTCTCGTTGACGGAAGGTGAAAGAACACAACGGTACCATTTCGTAACGGACCTTTATCATTTTCCAAGAATTATATATCAGTGTGTGTTTGTAGTGTTTTCATCGAGTACAGCTGTAACGACCATCCTCAGGTCGTCGCTTAAAGAAAAGTTGTTTATAATTGGATTTG